ACAGATTTCATCCATTTGTTGGTCAACACCCTTAGTAAAGGACAGTCGAGTAGCCCATCATGTCTTAGCACCGCTAACAAATTAGTTCTCTCTTCTAAATGTTAACATAAATTATTGTTTATATGATATATTGCTCATTTCTTCAGACGCAAAATGATACCATACATCTGTTGACACAGATTCTAAACAATAAAAAGGGGAAACTGAAATTCTCAATTTTTTTCTGCTAATATTTTATGATAATGGCTGCATTTCTTGTATACGCATTGACAATCGGACTTGACATATTCTTAATTTATTAAGAACAAAACAAATTGTGCAGGTAATAAAATATATCTTTTAGCGTGTACAATAGTCTATTTAACACTTAACCCACGGGCATTCACACGCGTGTTGAATACTATTATTGATTGTGAACCAATTTACACTTCTTCCTAAACATTAATCATTTTTTTATCGGAATATAAAACATTTACTATTACTTTCTGTCCTATCCGATGACAGAACCACTTGTATCTACATTTTTCTCCTTACGATGCAATGGCATATAAGTGAGAAATTATGCATAAAAATGGCAGATCCTATTCTGAATCAAATAAACTGGACATCCTAAAAAGCAAAGGGGTACTATTAAGTTGACAAACTTTATATTTGGAAATAATGCTGTGCATATACTGTTATCTTTCCGTTTCATAAAATTCAAAAATCTTGAATTCATTGAAGTGGAAATTTATTGAATTTTTAACATTAAGGTAAGATGATATATCTAAAACTATTTTTTTTTTTTGAAAGGGAAAATGTGTTGAACTTTTGCTGATTTGCTTTTTGCGCAGAACGAGATGTCAGATTAAGATTTTAGCTTTATTACTTGTTTCTAGCAATGGTATTTCTCCTGAAGGGATTTATTTAACAAGAATTACAGACTTGTTATAAGTTTCTTCTAATAATTCTAATAGATTCTAATCATAATATTGTTTGTTTAATACCATGTTTGAAAAAATGGTGCATTTTCCAGTATTTAAGAAAGACCGAGGAACTTATTTCAATTGTTAAAAGATGTGACAGATATTAGTGATCGATCTAGCACCTGTTGGTATTACAACTGTTGTCCGCATTGATTCAGTAAATAACGCGCTCCATTGATATCAAATACCACCGATCGCGTTACATCTTTCCGGTTTGCTGATATTTAGACATGGCTACATATAATTATTCAGTTTTTCTACTTTTTGTATGCAGTAACATTTATAACAATCAGATGTACCGTCTTCTACCATCTCGCGATTTAAATGCATCAGCTATTTCCTAGATATTTATCGCTTACTCTACTAATTCTTATGCAAAGATTGAATTTAATTGATTGATATTATGTACAAATTGAACATCCTTGTAATCAATCTAACAGACAGATTTAAAACATAAAAAGTTTTATCAAAGTTTATAATATACAGTGCAATACACTGTTGGGGATAGGCAGTGTCGGATTCTAAATGTTGCAGGTTCAACAGCTTGTAAAATATGGATTTTTTTCTCTCTTTTAAAAATGCCCTTTTTCGTGTGAAATGCTAGTAACTAGACTGTCAGTCGATATGACCAGTATTTGGTGTTGTATAGAGAGAAATATTGCTAAAACCTCACATGAAAAGAGAAAACATGCCAACTACAGTGTATAACTAACTAGTCAGAATGGAAACAGGTGTTACGTGGTCTTACATCTATAAACACAAACGAAAAAAGTAAGTGTCACTTATTTTGAACAGTCTCAGTAATCATGTGTATTATAACCTCAAGATTTTGGAGATGAAATATTGTTTGGTAGCCAGTCATTTTGATAAACGTGTCACTGTGCCAGTTTCCTCAAATCAATATACCTGAACGATTGTTCATACAAATATGGTAACATTCGGAGTTATTGTGCTCACATTTTCTCCTGCAAAAATCTCTTTGATCATATCTTAAAAGTGCCTTTTTCCTGAATAACTGATTGAATTTTGAGGATCATTGTTAGAAAAGAATGACATTTAGCTGGGTGTGCATCTATCACTTTCGAAAAAAAAGAAATGATTTGGGAACTGTGACAAATTGTTTTACAGTCTTATTTGTATCTCAGTGCAAGTCATTGACGTCACAAGCAATTATAATTGTAACAAAATGTATGATATCCCTGGTTTATTAGACTGCGTCGTCAGTGACCAAAGACTCAACACTACTTCTTCAAGGTAATTTTTGTAACAAAATGTACTATATCATGGGTTTATTAATCACTTATATATATCTGTAGAAACACGCATATAAAAAATCAAACGTTTTTATAATTTTTTTTTTTTTATTTAGAGACTTGTCAGTGTTTTATCATTATTATTTTTCTTCCCTTGAATTTTCTCAAAGAAAATGCATGTCTAATTGCTGGAAAACAATGCTGAAATACATAGATGCATTTAGAGCATCAAACCTCCGCAAAAAGAGAGAATGTTGTTCTATGAATGAAGACATCTTGATATGGGATTTCTTTCTGCAGTCCAGAATAAAACTAAACAAATCAAAAATTTAAAAAAAAAAATGGACTATGGGTGATGGAACTCGTGATAGCTAGAGTAGTATTGTGCATTTTATGTAGTAATAATGAGGAAATCTATAAAATATTTAATGTAATTAAGGTCAAGATCTAGTAAATGAAAGGTGCCTACAGATTTATAAAACTTGAGAAATACATTCCTTTAATCAAATAAGGTGTGTAATTTTGTAAACAAGATGAAAAACTGTATTTTAAACTGTCATTTTCAATGCAAAATTAAAAAAAACCAGTCATGAATATTGGAGTTTTTTTCATATTCGGCTAAGGAAATTATCTAGATTGCCTACAGTCTCTCAGAAAACGGTAATTAGTATGTTCATGGTCTGTTCTTTAAATCAATATCAAATTTGATATAGGTATCCGGTTTAGTTTTCATATTATTTCAAATTGAATGACATGAAAGTACAATATTTCCTACAAAATTCTGCCAAAGCCGTAAAGTACGGGAAAAAGAAAGTTGAAATTGATTATGACGTCAAAATGGATCTAGCCCCAAAAATTACTCTCAAGTTATTTACTAGATCTTGACCTTAACTTCTTAAAATCTTGTGTATTTTGTTTATGAAAAGCAAGAATATTAAGATTTTTTTGAGGGCTGACATTCAAAAAAATTTGAAACAATTAATATTGGTTCCCATTTCCTTTTATTGGACAGTGATTGATATAAAAGAAATTACTGATTATTCAAAAAGTTTTGCCTTAAATGAAGTCTCATGTGGCATTCATTCCAACTTTTAGTTAAATCGACGACATATTGACAATTAACAATGTTGATTTTTACTCCTACGTTGAATTGATATACTCCTTAGAACTTGAATTTAAAGATACCACAGCATCTCACAAATCTATCTCATTTTTTGATTTTTACATGAAATAGAAGTGAGTAGTTACCTACTTTAAAAAAAGACATCATGAATTTAACTATTCTACCGTCAGTAGCAATATAACTTTATAACCTGCATACAGAGTATATATATCTCCCAGTTTATTCTATACGCAAAAGATGCTCTGAGTAAGAAGAAACGAGGCAAACTATTGACAATCATGTTGATGAAACAAAAATATCAGATGTTTATATTTCCCACTCTTTTGTCGATACAATAACTTATCAGAAAATGCAATATATTATTAAGTCAAATGCTGACTGATGTCTTTCACACTAATTGTAAAGCCATTCTCACACACTGAGTTGTCTACCGTTTTCTGTTTTCACGATCATGACAAGTAGCACACGATGGGTGTTAAGGGGTCGTACGGGAACTTGACCTTCCTTGGCCTCTTTCCCACCTTTAATGTTTTACAGACATTCGTTTGCTCTGCTCCCAATTTGTATTCTTTCAATGGACTTTTCAGCTTAATTTCTGTTCGCTATATACATCCACATTTCATCTAAATTATCATTTATGTCAAACAATACCTAATTTTACTTTCTGGCTGAAAAAAAGGTAGACATTTGTTCAATGGTATAGAAAAGTAATGAACAAAAGAATCAAAACAATATTACAAAAATTATTTTGACTTGGTTAAGAATCAATTAAGTTATTAAAAATCATCAACCTTGACCTTTAAATTTGTCTTATGAGGAAAAAATAAGAGACGAATACAAACTTATTTGATTATCATAATAAATAAAATGCGAAATAAAATTACAAGGTGAAATTGAAAAGATGTTTTGCATGCATAATGTGTAAATTCCTTGAGTAAAACTATTATTCAAATTAAAAAAAAAAATCACTGAAAGAAAGTTTCCATTATATTAGTAATACATGTAATGTTTTGAACATATTTATGCAAAAAAACCCACCCTTTTTTATAATAACAGCAATATCATAAATCCATTGCAATCCCGAGGCTTCACAAATGGAAAACGTTAAACTAACACACAAAGTTATGTTAAGTGTCTAACCAACACTTCAACAACTACTTTGATACTTCTTTTGTAAAAATCTCCTTTTTTAAGTGCATACTTTGAACTGTATACCAAGAAATTTTCGAAATACATATAGATAATTGAAAAAAGACAAGAAAAGTTTTAAACAAAAATTAAATACTCGATCAGAATTAAAAACATACAAAAACTAAGTAAAAACTCTACTTCAATTTTCGGGCAGAAAAATATAATGGATCAGAATGTATATTGAATATGGAATACAGCTAATAGTAAATACAGAGATTGTTTATTATTTAAGATATAATTACTTGATATCCTCTGGATATATACGCTACCAGTTGTCAAAATAAAGGTGTCCAGTAACAATTTGCTTTAAAGCATTCGTAAAAAATTACATAATACGTTGGTTCTTCTGGTGTAAACACAGGTAATATATGTAAACAAACCATTCATGAGTCGAAAAAACACAACTTAAAAATCATCATGAGGTCATTTTGTTTTGAAATCAATCTCCGCGTCTTCGTCATATGTGAACTCCTGTCAAAACCATAAAGAATATATAAAGCAAAATCAAAACATTCATTAAGTAGTTTTACAATATTTTTCTTTTGACTACCAAAAGAGTTCAGAATGCGAGGAAACAGTTGATCCATCAAATCAGTCTCCACAGGTGAGACTCTCAATACGGGATAATTAGTTGTATTTAACATAATTAAATTTCTTGTCAATGCATTACCATTTATTTTTGCAGATCGATCGCATTCTGTTCTTCGTTGGAGTGAGTGGCTATTGGAAAAACAAGCTAAATGAGCACTTTTAAAATGAATATAGGGGATATTCCCCCTGATCAATTGACAGACTCGGGAAAAAATTACTCCGAGGACAAAAAGGAAGATCTCTATCACACCTCAGCCTTCCGAAAGGAGTACCGTAAGGAAGAACCGGAACTGACCTTTGCTGAAAAGTGTAAAAAGTCGGCCAAGAAATTTGTCAGTTGTTCCAACAAGAAAAAATGTGTAGAAAAAGTCTTGCCTTTTTTGAGAATTTACAGAAAGTACAAAATAAAAACAGACTTACCCAATGACGTCATTGCTGGATTCACAGTTGGAATTATGCAACTTCCGCAAGGTTATTTTTTATTATATTATCGTGAGTTGCATGGATACTGAATATATTTTTTCCGTTATATATTTTCTGACCATGATATATTAATATACAGATCTTTTTCCCTGTAGGAATGGCCTACGCCATGTTAGCAGATATGCCCCCTGTCGTAGGACTGTACATGGCTTTCTTTCCCGTTCTGATTTACTTTTTCTTTGGCACATCTCGACATATATCAATGGGTATGTAAATGAGGCAGAACAACTTTACTCTAATAATTATCAAAAGAAAAAAAGAGAACCTTTTCAAAAACAAAGTGTAAAACTCAGACCCTACTATTTTTAGGAACAGTAGCAGTGGTCAGTTTGATGACTGGTTCAGTGGTATCAAATATTTCGCCACTGAACTCAAAGTCTGTTACACCGACCAGTTTTTATCCCAATAATACATACCTCAACGACACGGAGGGGAACAACTCCATCAGCCTGACCCCCATTGTCCCCACCATCGGCTCTTCCGACCAGGACGACTTCATAATGCAAAAACTAGCTCTCGCCTCATCCATGTGCTTTCTTGTCGGGGTTGTTCAGGTATATTTCTGAACTTCCTTTTTTTGTGATCACGAAAGTTGAATTGACGTTCAGATATGTTGTAGTGGTATTTTTTGTTGTCAGGTTATATTCGGAGTCTGTAGGCTTGGACTCGTGACCACCTACATGTCCGACCCTCTAGTCAGTGGGTTCACCACGGGGGCTGCAGTTCATGTTTTTACTAGCCAGGTCAAGTACGTGTTCGGATTGAAAATCCCAAGATTCCCCAATCTGTTCCAAATCATTTACGTAAGTCATCTTCAAACTTATTTTTTTTTAACACAACTTATTCAAAAAGCATCAAAGAGGTAATTTTGCATGAAGTTGATTTCTTTTTCAGACATACAAAGCAATCTTTGAAAACATAGCTAAGACCAACTACGTGACAGTCATCATTTCCGCTATATGTATGGTGATACTGTACATCGTCAAGGTTCAAATTAATCACAGATTTAAGCACAAGCTTAAGATTCCCATTCCAATTGAACTGTTTGTGGTGAGTTTCAGTTTTTAAATAAGTTCTTTTTATTATATTCGACGATTAATTACATTGCTTTATCAATGAACATTATAGCCTTTGATTCGCTTTTACTCTCAAAACTCAAAATAAAAGACATGCACCATTAATATGTACAATTGTTTCAATTTAAATATTTTGATTGTCGTGAATTTTGATGACAAACTAACAGCTCAGGTGTAAACTCAGGGCGGGTAGAGGCTTTTCGCCGTCTTCTGTTATTTGCCTTCTAGTATGCAGTATTTTTTCTGCAGGTTGTAGCTGGTACTCTCTTGTCGTATTTCTTTAACTTCCACACAGAATACAATGTTAAAATTGTTGGAAAAATTCCGGCAGGGTGAGTCTATAGAAATCATGTTCCTTGCACTATATAATATTACGATATTTCATATTGAGAATCTTTAAAAGAATTTTTTAAACATTACATTTTTCAAAACATTTAAATATTTTAGGTTACCAGAACCAAAAGTTCCCAATTTGAAGAATGCCTTTGAGTATATCAGTGACGCTATTATCATCGCTATTGTTGCCTTTGCTCAGTCAGTGTCTTTAGCTGCCTTGATGGCAAAGAAACACAATTACCCTATGGACTCGAACCAGGAGCTGATCGCATATGGTGCCGGAAATATTTTTGGTTCTTTCTTTTCTTGTTATCCATTTGCAGCCTCTGTATCTAGGTCATCTGTGCAAGACTCCGCTGGTGGGAGAACCCAGGTATGGTTATAAACAATACTCTATCAACTTATTCTTTGGTTTTTGTACGTATACATACTGTTGTAATGAACATCTTTTTAGTGAACATTCTTACATAACCTTTTCTTCAGCTCACAAGTGTGTTCTCAGCCTCCTTGGTACTGGTTGTGATTCTTTTAATTGGTCCTTTATTTGAATCTCTCCCTAATGTAAGTATTGCAGATTATGATCTTTTTAATTGGTCCTTTATTTGAATCTCTCCCTAATGTAAGTATTGCAGATTAAACCCAGATTCATGTTTATGAAGTATTAATATTATTTTGACATACTGTTTATGAACTTTGAATTGTTTTAGTGCGTTCTTTCTTCGATCATCATGGTGGCATTAAGAAGCATGTTTCTTCAGATTTTTGAGTTGAAGCAGCTCTGGAAAGTTTCCAAATATGATTGTGTAAGTATTGATGTGCAATATAGCCAAAGACTACGTATTTTAGCTGCATTGAATGACCTCTAATGTACTGCTGCGTATGTATGCAGCGTTTTTGTCAGGTTTTGATAAGCTGTAGACAGTATACAGTCACAAGAGAAAACAGAAAGAGTGATATTGATATTTAATATAACAATCACTTACACCTGTTGCATGTTTCATATTACAAATGATATGAAACACTTTGGTGTAGTAAATATACACTGAAAATACTCAGTGGTTTCAGATGCTTATGTATACAAGTCGTAATTAAAGTTCTCTTCCAGTTTTACAAGCTTTTATGTTTTCGATTTTAGGGAGTAAATCAAGTATGTACGTTAGGAATCATTTTACAATAGTTTAAAACGTTTTAAACTCGTAACTAAATATCAATCAACACAGTTACACAAGTTTCAACTATAAATTCAAAAGCTATAATTACAGGTGATATGGGTGGTAACGTTTCTAGCAGTTGTTATTTTATACGTTGACCTCGGACTATGGGTTGGACTTATCTTTTCCTTTCTGACCGTTGTTGTCAGAACCCAATGGTAAGCCTTCAGCAAATTTTGTATGGTTCTATCTACACATTACTTACTCTAGTACATAAAAATCTCCGTTATCATTTTGCTTTAATATTTTAGTGCCAAAGCAGTTTCTTTGCAGAAGATTCCCGATGTTGAAATGTTTGCAGATGAGAAGAAATACATAAAGGTAAAGGGAAGGGTATTGAAATCAAAAACTGTAACTTGCAATGTCTACCATTAATAAACAATTACCTTGAATATACATGTACATGTATCTGAATTATTTTACAGACGCAGTCTCAGTATGGAATAAAGGTGATTGGCTTTAACTCACCTCTGTACTATGCAAACGGTGATATGTTCGTGAAACAGGTTTTCCAGATCGTTGGTCTGAAGCCGGAGAGAGCTAGAAAGCAGATCAAACGTTTGGGTTCTATATTGGAGTTCCGCAGAGTGGTAGGTAGAGGATAAAATAACCATGCTGATTACATTGATCTGGCATTGACCTATTCCAATTGACACCATATTGACAAGTACACTGTATCATGACTGGTCATTTCTTTACAGAGTCAGATGACCTTAGTCTGTGGTTCATACAGCCATGTTGACCCCAACCCACCTTTAACCCCAACTCAAAGTCTTGGTGATCATCCAAGTGTATCCATGACAATAAGCAACGGCTCATCTAATGAGCTGAGTCATAACAATAGCACATCTGACCTTCAGAGCAACGGAGGTAGTTTAAGGTCACGAACAGGAAGTATAAAAGGTGGACACGGAAACCTTGGATACGTGCACCACGTTATCATTGACTGTTCCAGTATGTGCTTCATTGACTCCGTGGGCAGCAAAGTTCTAAAACAGGTTTGTTTTAGTCTGTTCCAGAGAAAATCAATGTCATCGCTGAAAATTTATTGTTATTATTTGTAGAAAGTCATTGATTTCATAATTATCCATCTTCTATTGATTTTTAGGTCATTGAGGAGTATAAAACAGTGGGTACAATCGTTTTTCTTGCAGCTGTAAGAGGTATGTACCTGAACTTTTATATTAGTTTCGTTGAATTCAAAAAATACTTTTTTTATCTTCAAAGTTCTCCTTTCTTTATTAAGATGAGGTGTGGCGAGTGCTGGAAGCCACGGGATTTACCGAGAAATACGATTCACAGATCTACCTTTCTGTTCATGACGCGGTAGTGGCAGCAACCCTTGAAGGCGAGGGAGAATACGCAGATGGGGTGAGATTTTGTTATTATAATCCATAACTACTTAAAACATTTATAAATTTACAAATGTATTTAAGTACCTCAGTTCAGAAGAAAGATTTGGGAATTCAGACTGTATAAATGTAATATATATTTCATTATTCACTTTTGACATAGTCAACCAAACAAAGGATGTGTACTATTATAGAAGAGGTCGACTCTCAAGTCAATGACCATTTAATGGCGGAATTTTATTAGTATAGGTACAATTTAGCTACATTGTTTGGTCATTTACCCATTACCTTTTCCCAAAGCTTGGTACCTTGGGTATTTTTCTTGAAAATTTTTAAGTTTCTTTCACCTTTTTGTTGGAATTTTATCCCAGTTGGTGGTCATTTTGCATTTTCAGTATATTTTATTTTATTAATCTCTTGTTCTTGATCCTTCTTAATTTTTCAGTTTTCATGATACATATGTATATCATTTAAGTGGACTTGATATCAGTTTATACAAGATCTGTCTGAAACCATTTCTTCAAAAAAAATTTTGAATTTATTAATTTATTTTACATGTTTTTTTCTTCAGTTTTCATCACGTTTTAGACAATTTAAATTTATAAAATTGGCATTATAAATAAAACAAACATATTTCAGTACACGTATTAAAATATTGTAATAAATACTCTCCTTTAAATCTTACACGATAGTCACGAGTTTTCTTTAATTCTCCGAATCTACGTTTTTAAACATTATTCAAACAACTATGGTTGTGGAAAAGTGACGGTTTTCTAAAAAAAATCTTTTATCATATTTGCATACCGTCACTATTTTTTTTTTCATCATATCTTGCACAGTCGTGAATTCTAGTGTTGGTGCAATGACATTTCTGCATGCTTAAAAAAATGTGCAATTAAATTTGTTCCTTAATTAAAATGAATAAAATAACAAATAATTATCTTGAGAGAAAGTCTTTTTTTTTTTTAGTTTGTGCATTTTAATCAATTACTTATAACTAGTTATAGATAAATTAAAGAAAACACAAACACAATTTTGACATTTCCACATATTTGGCTTATTTATACTTTTTTATTACAGAATTCGATCCATATCTAGTAACAACGACACACTGAAGCAGGGACAGAGAAGAGAGTGTTATTGTTTGAGTATTATCATCCATAATTCCACATTTCAGACTGACGATTTGTTATGTTACACCTCAGATTTATTTGTCAGATCTTGTTTGCGTCAGAGGTTTTACATTTACATTATAAAGACCTTTTTAGGTGATTTACATGCTTCCATTTGAGCATGTGTCATGCACATGTCAAAAAAGACGTGTAAATCCAAATGTGTGGTATTATTTGTATATTTTTTCATAAAAAGTGCGTTATTAAATAACTTGTATATAAATGTGCTTTCTAAGTACAATTTTGTAGACAGTTATATTGTTATCTTGCATATATATTGTTACATATGTATATACATATAGTTTTATTTTCAATTGTTAAACGGTCTAAATTTATAGATATATTAAATAAAAAATGAAATCATATTTCTTTTATTTGTATTATTTACTATTTATCAATATCAGTCAAGGCAAATATTCACCTCAGATTGCAAATTTGTGCAGATTTACTTGAAAAGCCAAGTATTTTACATGCTTTTAAATTCATTTCTAGTCAAGTAAAATGACCAGTATCCTATATTTAATATTACAAATGTTATTGGAAAAACAAATCGACACACCTTGTCAATTTGGCTCACACTGTTAGCCTGGACATCTCGACCTTGACCTCTGACACGATGACCTCTTATCTTTAAGCTGGAGAACCAGACTTTCATCTGACTCTCCACTCTGGACACGAATACTCGGTTCTTCTGAATACTCTGCTCACTACACGCTATCCTTTTGGTAGTCCTGGGACGAAGATTTCTGTGAGTCTGTAATTAATATACAATTTCTTACTCTACCTTCTCTATAAACTATAAGCAGCAATATAAATTAAGTGTGGCTTTATTCTATTGACAGAAACAAAACATTTTACATGTATATCTCTACCTAAGATGCATCTTTGCTAAATCATGACTCTTTGTGGATAAGAAATAATCAAGTAACTGCTGTAGGGTAAGAAATACATACAGGTGCATGTTCCTCGTCCGAGCTGTCTATTTTGGGATGGGGATGCGTATCACTATGACCTCTCTTGGTGAAAAGGTGAACGATGGCAAACTGCACGAGCGTCGAGAGGACGAAGATAAAACACATGGAGACGTAGAGGTCAAGTGCAGTGGCATAGGAAACTCGAGGGAGTTCATCTCGGGTATCAAGGGCAAGGAAGGTCATAGTTAAAACTGTGGTTGTGCCTGTACAGACATATAAGATAATAAATCTTATAAATAATAAATTAGGCACTTGTTACATAGGAAGAATCTATTTATTTTCTTGACAAGGGAGAAATGACACAATAAATATCTTCATAATTTTAAACATTTTTATCATGCGACTACTATTAAAGCTTGGATATGTTTAACTTGTTGGACTTTATACTGTGCTAAAGCTTGTTTTCCAGCGATGCTTTAAGAATCCTGAAGTATAATTGTTATTTACCAAGAGCAATTCTATCTGCTGTGGCCTCCCTATTAATCCAGAAAGAGACCCAAGACAGAACCACTAGTAATGAGCACGGAATAACAACGTGTATCAGAAAATACCCCGTGTGTCTCCTGAGACCAAAGCGGACCGTCAGACAGGAATGAATGGCTGTCACATGGATAAAATGAACAATTTAGTAGAGATTACGGAATCAGCATAAGTTTCAAAGCTAGAAAAAATAGAACAATTCATAATAGCATGTAGAGCAACGAGAGAAAGTAAAGTTAATTTTAAAACATGGATGAAATAGGAAAGTTATGGCAGAAATAAAATAGAAAATGTTAAATTGGATAGAAGTGACACTTTTTTTGATTAAGGTTTAAATCATTTATGAAAGAATGCTAAATCCATACAAATAAGCAAACATAAATATGAGGAAAAACAAGAAATCTGTGAGCCAATGCTCACTAGTAATACCCCCGCTCTGATGCAAATAAGGACTATCATGTTAGTATACACAAGTTCAATTACAGGCAGACGTACAGAAAAATATGAAGTTGACATCAGATTCATATCAAAATTACTAGTAATCCCACCGTATGGCATACCTCTACAAAGAGTAATAAAATTTCAAGCATCTGCTATGAATAGCTAAAGAGAAAACTGCGACGAAATTTTTTATGCATGAAACGGACAGACACACAAACAAACAGGAAGTTGACATCGGATTTGAATAAAAATGTATCCCAATGAATGGCATGCGTCAGAGAAGATTGTGTTAAAATTTCAAGCATCTACGATGAGTAGTTGCTGAGAAAACTGTGACGAAAATTTGTTATGTATGAAATGGACAGACGCACAGACAAACAGGAAGTTGACATCGGATTTGAGCGAAAATGTATCCCACCATATGGCATGCCTCAGAGAAGATTGTGTTAAAATTTCAAGCATCTACGATGAGTAGTTGCTGAGAAAACTGCGACGAAAATTTGTTATGTATGAAACGGACAGACGCACAGACAAACAGGAAATTGACATCAGATTTAAGTGAAAATGTATCCCACCATATGGCATGCCTCAGAGAAGATTGTGTTAAAATTTCAAGCATCTACGATGAGTAGTTGCTGAGAAAACTGCGTCGAAAATTTGTTACGGACGGACACACGGACACACAGACACACGGACAGCTAGACAGACAGACAGACACACAAGGGTAAAACAGTATACCCCCCTCTCCTTCGGAGCGGGGGTATAAAAATAATAATGAAAAACGCATGGAAACAGCGCACTAATTCTTTTGATACCTCCTTTTCTGGAAACGTTAGTGTAAGTGGCAGAGTAATTGATGAGGTCAAATTGAGACATTGTCATATCATTGGACAGCTGGACAGAGTTCAATGGACCGTAACGCCAAACGTACATGACCTCTTCTGTTGTGTAGGCGACTGAAAGAGGTATCAAAACTAGTAAATGTGTAGGTAAAAATCAGCTTTTAATTTTTTTTTTCGATGTCAACAAAAGAGCACGTACAGCTGCCGATCTTGAGTTCACAGATCTGGGAGTCTAGAGGGTAATTCTGAAGCTCCATTTGACAAACTGCTCTAACAGTCAGTCTGTGAAAAAAATGTACAAAATGTAACCCAAGTACAGACTGAGAAAATCGTGTCTTAAATTGAAGTTTTACGATGTTTATTATCCCATTATTCAAAAATATCAATATACCTTTGTGATAAATACATAGAACCATTAGGACTTATTCGTATAAATCTGTTTGGGGTTGGGACAAAGTGAAGATAAGACTGTCTGCCATTGTAGAAGACTGTGTCGGGATGCCAGAGTCTATCCAGTACTTTGATGTTCAGAGAGATGTTCTCTATAGACATATTGGTGGCCAGTCTTGTATCCATCCATCTCTGGCGGAAGTATATCTCGATGGAATAGACCTGCACAAAAAATCAACGTTTTCTGAAAATATTCTAAGATGGATTTAAACATTAAGATGCATACTGTAGAAATTAAATTGATGCTAATTTCCATTATTTAGGTTTCTTTGTATTCATTGTACAATAGCAAGATTTTACTGCAGTAGTTTTCTTTTATTAATAGCATGCAAATATATTTGATGAATTCATTAATTTACTTCCTCTCTTCTATTTTATTGCATCCGTTTTGCAAAATAGAGATCCTAAAGCATAAACAGTTATTTGATGGATTGTTTTATTCAAATGTTCATTTTCCCTATTCATAAAAAGAATCGGTCCTTCATTCATCAAGCGGAAGGTTTTTCTATTAATAAATATAAGAATGTGTTGGTCAGGAATATAAATGAAGAAAAAACCCAATAAGCAAATGTTGTCTAAATCCCATTTAACACAAGGCAGTAAGTGGGGAAGGGGTTCGGAGGATAATAAAAGACGTCCACGGAACAATGTATATTGCAGTGGTCACTCAGAGGCAAAAAGTTTGTAATGAACTGTTTACAGATGAACAAATTCGGTTTAATCAAAATGAATGATGGTGTTTCTTTTGGTAATAGGAATTTGTAATGAAACGGAGACGAGAAACATAGAGGAAAACCAGTCAGGTTATTACTTTGTATATCCGTACATTTTACACAGAGAGGTGGACGAGATTACCAAAACGTGCATTTATGATTAAGTTTTTTTTTTAATTGTTTCAATCTGAGTCGGTAATATAATAAAAATAATTAATTAAAAAATTATTTTAAGTAAAACTGATAAAGTTAAACTATATGTGTTGAAATAATATTAGTGAAAACTACAATCTGATTTCTATACTCGATACTTGACATGTTTTACTAAAATTTTGAATAACAGATTAACTTGTTGGGCAGAATATGGAGGAGTATTGTTTGAACAACAGTCTGGTTTTAGACAGACACGTTCTACTATTGATAATTGCTTTGTTCTTCAAGCAAGTGTATATAAATATATTAGTAAAAGCAAAGGTAGAATGTATTGCATGTTTATAGATTTTTCAAAAGCTTTTGATTGTGTTCAACATAATATTTTACTGTATACACTATTCAAGAAAGGAGTCAGTACAAATATTTTATTGCTTTTAAAGTCAATGTATTCCCAATTAACATCATGTATTAGAAATCAAAATCTTATTTCAGACTTTTTTCAGTGTAATATAGGTACAAGACAGGGTTGCATGTTAAGTCCTTTATTATTTATCATGTTTATTGGGGAACTAACAGAATTATTAGAATCAATAGAATGTAAAGGCATATACATTGATGAGACATATCCTAACATTATGCAGTTACTTTTTGCTGATGACGTAGTTAACTTTGCGGATACTGTTATTAACTTACAAAATCAAATTAAAGCCTTAGAAAAATTTTGCTACAAATATGGCATGAAAATTAATTTACAAAAATCAAAGATCATGGTGTTTAGACGTGGGGGTATAACAAAAAGTACAGAGAAATGGTTTTTTTGATGGAAGAGAAATTGAAATTGTATCATTTTACAAATACCTAGGGTTATATTTTACAAGTACAATGTCATGGGAACTGACAAAGAAGTCTCTGTGTGTGTCAGCAGAAAAAGCATTGTTTATTGTATATAAATTTATGAAGATGTACAATGCATCATATAAACAAATCTTTTGCATTTTTGATAGAATGATTGTACCTATTTTGACTTATGGTGCTGAAATATGGGGGTATGAGTTATCGAAATGTATCGAATCAAGAACAATACACCTGAAATAGTTGTACTAGGAGAACTAGGGAGATATCCTCTAATGGTAAAGTACTTTAAGAAATTTATTGCATATTGGTTAAAGATATTTTGTATGGAAGATGATAGATATCCAAAAAGATGTTACTTATTTTTACTTCAGTTAAATAATGTAGGTAGAATTAGAGGTAACTGGGCGTCAGAAGTGAAGTCAATGTTATGTAGATATGGATTCCACTATGTATGGCTTTATTAAGGTGTAGGGGATAATGTATTATTTTTAAAAGAGTTTGTACAAAGAGTTCAGGATAACTTTATGCAAGAATGGCACTCTTCATTGAGCTCTTATAGTAAACTGGATTTTTATTGTAAATTCAAAATTCTTTTTGAACAGGAAAGGTATCTAGATGTCATAAACAATGTATCTTTCAGAGAATCACTTTGTAAATTAAGAACTTCTAGTCATTGTTTGGAAATTGAACATGGTCGATTTAAAGGTATTCCTAGAGAAAATAGATTTTGTCTCTTCTGTCAAATAGCAAATAAAAATTGTATTGAAAATGAAAAGCACTTTGTAGAAAATTGTGAATTATATATGGATATTAGAGTAAACTGTAATATTTTGAAACACTTAAGATTTTATAAAAACACTGTGAATATGCTTATATATGGAAATGATGCAGTGTTAAATGATGTCGCAAAATTTACCTTTTTAGCTTTTAAAGAGAGGGAAAAGTTCATTGAGAATTTAATATGTGATAATTCATAAGTATAGTCTATATGTTTTCATATTGTATACCTGGTAAGCCTGATCTAAAATTGTAAATATAACATTGTAAAATATGAATGTACTTTGGGCCGGTGGCCTACAATACTTAATTCAATAAAAATATCTACTTGACATGTTTCTACAGAAATTAACTTTAATTTAACTTGTTACAAATTAAAACGTTTATATAGATAGTGTCTTTTCGGTAAATTATCATAGTTCCCTGAAAGCTTTTTGTCCCCGATCTCACTTTTACTTATACTGAGTATAACTTAATTTTAAAAAAAACTCAATTGATTACTCATGTGATTTTGTTCTTGTTTTTTAAGGTAGGATTCTTCTCTGGTTTCTGACTAGATGAAACATTCAAAGTATATTTGCTTATATGTCTTATATATTGAGGTGTAAGGAATTTAAAAGACCATATTTTTCTTTCCTCATCACAATTGTACAACTCTAAATAGAAATGGTAAACTGTGTTTGAAAACTAGCAGGGACTATAATTTTGGCGGAATGGTGGCGTATGAAAATATCTTTTTTTTCTGCCTCTCAAAATTATAATAGAACAATGAATTTAGTTATAATTTTTACACAATCGAAGACTTGGAGAAATTTTCAAATGTAAGTTAGATTAATAATGAGGGACTAAACTTTCAAAATATATCTAATAAATATGATTTTTCAAACAAACTAGAACTTTAACTTTTAAACACTTCCTATCAAAGTGCAGATTTGAGCCAAAAATCCATAAAAAGTATTTTTTTCTCTCTTAGTAAACGATCAAAACTTTTTGTTTTTGTATCATTTTGTATATTTATAAGACTACTTCATTATATGTGAAAATAAGAAAAAGTTAAATATAGGAAGCATATGAAAATAACTAAAATATCCTAAAAAATTAAAACAGAGAAAATTCGGATTAGCCAATATCCAGTTAAGTTAAATTATTTATGTAAATTTGGTAATATCATGCGATGGACCCGATATAGTAATATGTTTTTATGCAAAAAGAGCAATCATTAAACTTTTGAAATAGAAGTAGGTATCACATGATTTGCAACAGTATATTTTTATTTTTAATGTCAAGGAAAAAAGATAACGACCTTGACCTGACCTTGCCTCTCATATAAAACGGTCAAATTTAATTTCACTGATACTATCACTTACTGATATTATCTTCTTGTTTCTGTGAAAATTTCATTAATTTTTAAATATTAGAAATATGAGAAGAATCCTACCTTAAGTTTTGAATTAAAAATCCATCAAAAGTATAATGTATATATCGTGCTTTTAGACAAAGCTACACTGCACAGCGTCAAAAGTATCTCATAAAAAGATTCAGAAGTGGTGTTGTGGATTTTGAAACTTAGGAATTTTCAAAGATGAGATTGGTAGCACAACGAAATGTTAAACAAGGAAACAGAGATTTAAATTTGCATTTAAAAATGTATCTAAGTGGAAATACACTGTAACATTTCATTTGTAGATTTAGTTCGCTTTATAATATTCATTTTTAAGGACAGAATCGATACAAACAAACAATGGAAACCTGGATTGGTATGTATTTTTCGGCCTAATTTCATTACAAATGATCCAAATAATAAATGTCTAGAAAATAAAGAAATTGTAAACCTGCTGTGATGTTCAAAAGTATGCCCTTCTGAAAACATCCTTGTTAATCCACAGGTGCTTGAGGACAGGAATCCCCCCCCCCCAATATAGACCCCGGGCCTGTTAGACTTTTTTTCGCATAAATTATATATGGATGACATATTTGTGATCTAATCTATCCCATCAATTCAAAAAAATTGCTTAAACTAACATTTTATAAAAATTTCTACCCCACTCTCTATATATAAATTAACCACAGGTGCTTGAGGACAGGACCCCCCCACCCCAATATACACCCCCGGGCCTATTAGACTTTTTTTTCACATAAATTGTATATGGATGACATATTTGTGATATAATCTATCCCATCAATTCGGAAAAATTGCTTAAACTAACATTTTATAAAAATTTCTACCCTACTCTCTATATATAAATTAACAAGGTGTTGATTTTAATATATAGAATGTAGGGTAGATTTTATAGAACGTTTGTTTTAGGTAATTCTTCGATTTGTTGGTATAGGAGTTATCACAAATATGTCAATGAAAGATTATTTATGAGAAAAAAGTTGAAAAAGCCCAGGGGTCTTTAGTAAATTTCATACCTGACTCGGCTCCGGGGGGGGGGGGGGGAAAGGTGGTCCTGTCCTCAAGCACCTGTGCATTAATCTATACAAATATTTTTCACTTCAAATTCCATTTTTGTGCAAATTTGAATAAAAAATTAAAAACTATGCGGTGAAAGTTATTCGTTTTACTCATTTAAATGTGACCCTACTTGTTATTTTCAATTCTTTGACAAAAGTTTGTTTGTATCATTTGTCCTTAAAGGAAACCAAATTTAACTAGTTATTGTAACATTAAAATCCAAAGAAATACCATCTACATCTTTAATGAAATTTAGTTGTATTTGCAACTCTAATAAACGAGATCACTTCTTATAAACTATGCCAATTTACAAAGTAATACCGAAGAGACAATTGAAGAAACAATCTTTACATCTGATTGACATTATCTTTGTACTTTTGGAGATCAACTTCAACAATTTGTCAGAATTCCCGTGGATACAAGTTGTTCCCGGTTATTAGCAGACTCATTTTTGTTTTCATATGAATCAGAATGTACGCCAAACTTTAACATGAAAGAAAATTTTTGCTGTGACCTTCTATTCAACATATCGACAGTGTTTTATATACATTGTACTAGAATTAAGAATTTTCATTTTATTACCACGTTGATTCGATTTATACCATTGCACTTTAAATAAAAGATACCACGGAGTCTACCTGAAACCTTTCTTTCATATTTAGATATCTTACTAGAAAATTAGTCAATGGTAACCTAACAACCAAATTTATAACAATCTTGAGGACTTTAACTGGTCCATCTTGAAATCCCCTAATTTATGTACCAGTATTTCGCCTGTATAGGGAGGGGTTTTTTTTGGTCTCTTTTAGTTGTTTCAATACGTAGGGGCATGCTCTACGTAAAAACAATTTCTAAAACGAAGCAAGCAATTGAAAAATAAATTAAGATATCAACGGTCTCGTTTAAAATCAACATTTCTTAACTTCCATGGTCTATATAATGGCCTTGTCAGCCAATACATTTTAAACACTCAATTAACCGGATTTTTCCGCTTATTACAAGAAATGCACAGCGTTGACTGTTCGAGTGAGGATGCTCACTCCTCTATGGTATCAGATACATGTACCACCTCTGATGTTTTCAGAGGTTGGCTGATGTGTGAACAGAGCACGTAACACGCACCATCGCATCTTCGCTAGCCAAGGGTTTCTGATACGCTACTCTCCTCAAGTTCATGAAGTTCAGAAACCCTTGGCTAGCGAAGATGGCACCATCGGAGACTCCAGAAGAGGGATCGGGAGCCTATCAATTGAAACGATTTGATGCTCAGGTGAAAACGATTTGATGTCTCGAAACAATAAAAGAATTAAGCCCGTTATACGCATCTTTTTTTTTATCTCTTATTGAAACTTGTAGTAACGACCTTATTTTCTTCCCTTCTTGCAAATTAACTATCACATTATAAGATATTAATGTATTTAAATTAACACGATGCTTATAATTTACATCCGTTCATTCTCTTCTTCTTCTGAAAATAAGTTTTTATTTTTTAAATCTTTTAATCATTCTAAGGCACTTTTCACGTATGACGTTGCACCTTACGGTATTTAACGTCTAATATAATATAAAATACAGGTACCCTTTAACCTTAGCGTCCATGTTATGGTGTTTTGAATAGTATTCAAGCTAAAAAGTCTATAGTAACAATACAAATTGGAAGCAGAGCAAACACGGACCTCTAAATCATCAGAGGTGGGATCAGGTGCCACGAGGGAGTAAGCATCACCTTTCAATTCGTAACAATCGCCGTGTCCTTCTTGTCATGATCAGGCCAACTTAAAATCAATGTGTAAATATTCGCAAAGTAACCTTTTTGACAAACGTCAGTCAGCAGTCGACTTAATGACAGATTGTAATTGCTGATATGAACGATATGATTATCGATATGATGACTTTAAATGAGACTGTTGGTATCCCTGTTTTATCAACTAGTTAAAAAAGCTTATTCGTTGACAAGCTAATATTAATCTTATTCTAAACAAGTTGATTTTTCAGATAATTCAAAGTAAAAACTGACCATGTCTTTCTCAGAGATCGGTCCCATTGATCTCAGAAGTATATCTGTATAAATAACCACTGGTTTCTCTAAAAAATAAACACAAAACTGTAATTATCATTTTTATGAATGGCATACTTCAGGTTTACTTTACTTAAAAAATTCCCAACATAATGAATAAAAAATAATCCTGCTCAATGTTAATTAGAAAATTGATTAATTCGGTGAATTTACACCAGACTGGCAGTATACAGCTAGAAGATATAATATATCGTCAGTGAATCATCAGACTAAATTGTTTACCCTTAAAGCCTGGCCTTAGTCTTTTGTCATATTTCCGCGGATTTAGAACGATATCAAGCGTTGAGGTAATATTGGCGACATTGGTCACGTGTTTAACGTGACGTAACAGATCTCGGGATCTCTCCGGTAGCTCTCTGGACAGGAACTGCTGTGGTTGTCTACACTCCCAAGAAACCTTGACAGAACTAAAAATATGAAAATATATTCTTGTATTCATTATTTCTTTGTATAAGGAATGAATTTAATAGCTACCTATTTTATACGGTATAAACTGGGTTGGGGCAGTTTACGCATTATAAACCGCAAAGCGGTTCATAAAAAGTGTAAAGATGTTCCAACCCAGTTTATACCGTATAAAATGGGTAGCTATTAAATTCATTGCTTATAATTTAATTTTCATTCATTTGATGTAAGAAAAAAAGATGATTGTTCTAACAAAGTGACTTCAGTTTGTACAAAATTTGAATGTAACGTCAGGCGGATTGATACGTTTTTTACGCAAGTCATTGTGACGTAGGCAACTCATTTTATACGATATGAAATAATTTTTTATCCAATCAAATACAGCGTTACAACCAAAATTAAATTATTCTTGTATCAAAAGCCAATTAAAGTATTGTATGAATTATATAATATATTAGTGCAAAGGACCAGTTTAAACACCAGCTTCCAATATTCTAGTGTTCTTGCATGATATCCCAGAAAAGTTACATTTTTTAAAATATGAATGCACTTTAAAATCAAAGCCCCCAAAGTAGGGAAGAAGTCATTTAATTGCCAAATTTTACTGATTTATACAGGATCTTAATAGTAACATTCCTTATGGTATTCATTTAAGGAATGAATTTAATAGCTACCTATTTTATACGGTATAAACTGGGTTGGGGCAGTTTACGCTTTATAAACCGCGAAGCGGTTTATAAAAAAGGGTAAACTGTTCCAACCCAGTTTATACCGTATAAAATGGGTAGCTATTAAATTCATTGCTTATAATTTAATTTTCATTCATTTGATGTAAGAAAAAAAGATGAATGTTCTAGCAGAATGACTTCAATTTGTATAAAATTTGAATGTAACGTCAGGCGGATTGATACGTTTTTGACGCAAGTCATTGTGACGTAGGCAACCCATTTTATACGATATAAAATAATTTTTTTATCCAGTCAAATACAGCGTTACAACCGGAATTAAATTATTTACAAATAATGAAAAAATGAAGTGTAGAGAAATCAATTAGTCCAACGAAGTTTCAAAAACTAGAATAATATACAACATCATATATAAATCTTACCTTGCAATGATAAATAAAAACACCAGATTCATCTTGCTTGCCCTATCTACACCATCACCCAAAGCTCTCTATTCCAGTCCTAAGACACTTAGATCGATTGTTTAATTTCTTGCTCAGAAATCGACTCTCAGAAGCAGAGAAAAAAAATCACGTGACGGATACGGCCAACTTCTTGAAATTCATTTTGTAGTTGATACTTACCTCTTGAACAGGTATATGTATCTAATTTCTTAATCCATAGTGATTGGAGTTTTGAAAATATTTGTTTTTTATCTTTTATGTAAGTCACAAACAATACAAATTGTTATATTGTTGATCGTATTTTTTAAAGATAAATTACAAGATACTTGCAGCATTGAGTTGAAGTAGCATACAATAAAACAGAGTGATCTCGTTAAACTAATAAAATACCAGAAAGGAAGCATCACTTTTTGAGAAGTAATTTAGAAAATCATATTACCAACAGATTTTCTTGCAACTTATATTTTTTTTGTCAATAATATTATTTCTCAGATGCTACCATTCGGGTAATTTACATATATTGATTGCAAGTCCATTTAGAACCATGTAGCTCCAACAATGAAGTTTTGTACAGCAATTAAAGAAAAATAAGCCAATTAGATTATTGTAAGAATTAAATATGTTTAAAATGGTAATTAAACAATAGTTCTATGTTAAACGTGATGACTTAAACTTTTCTACTGTCAACTTCCCTTACTAATGCAGCAATATACCTTCATCACCTGCATACAGAGTAAATATCTCAGCTGATTCGATAGGCAAGAGAGTATGAATAATTTTCAAAACATGGTAAATTATTGACAATTTGCTAATACAAGAATATCAACAGTCTCGTTTAAAGTCAATATTTCGTAAGTTCTATAGTCTATACAATAACCTTGTCTACAAATACAATTTATCATTAAGTCAAATGCTGACTAAAGTTTTTCATACTATTTGTTAGGCCATTATATACAAACTGAACTGCCGACGGCTTTTTTCGCTATTTTTTTTTCTTATCATGACAAGGAGCACGCGGCGGGTGTGACTGGTCGGCAGGAGATGCTCAATTCAGCATGGCACCTGACCCCACCACTGATTTTTTTAGGTCTGTGTTTGCTCTGGTCCAATTTTGTATTTTTAAATGGACTTTGAGCCAGGGTTTAGTCTTGTATTTCACCATATTTCAAGTTAAAGACTACACCTTGTATTTCCTACAAATATACATCGACCATTGCTTCCAAACTTTTCAATTACAAAAAAAAAATTACATGGCCTGGCTACTGAGCATCTGAAACATAATCCTCCATCGTGTTCATGTTCACATTATTACAGGTGACGTAAATATACACGTCGTGTGCCAAAAGTGAAGATAATTTTATTTTTTCTCTATATATTTCATTGAAAACAACATTTTTTAAAATCATTGGCAAATGGTCAATTTTTGTCCAATTTCATTATTTATTTCAGTACTTAAACCAGAAAATGTGCAGTTTTCTTTCTTTAAAAGATCATTAAATACTTAGTTTTTACTAAAAGATAGTTCATCAATTGACATCAGTTCTAAAATTCAAGATCATCGTTGACTATAGAATTCATTTTGAGTATGTGACTTAAAAATTCATGTCGCAGTAAAATTACAATATTTCTAAAATATCAATACTGATCAGATAAAAACTATTGTTTATATCAACTACAACAATTTATTGGATTACCATGAAATTTGTGATAAAATCTGTTAAGAAATGTTGTCATACCAGTGATTTTAAAAAATGTTGTTTTCAATGAAATATATAGAGAAAAAATAAAATTATCTTCACTTTTGGCACACGACTGTAGTTAATAATAAGGACCTTAGATCACTTATTTTAAAAGGTCCTAAATATAGGGAATCCCGATCCTTTAACTGGCGTCGGCATTTCATAAATATTATGGATTCTGTTGAAAATTCCGCAAGACGATGGGCTAAATATGAAAAAGAAGACGTTGACACTTTGTCAGAATGAATAAAATGTATCAGATCCATGTTAAAGTCGCGTATTAAATGATTGAGGTGCAATATGAAAACCATCTATCCTTCTGTATTCAATAATCCAGAAGTGAAAAAAGAATTAGATAGATTACATGATCAGTACGTACTGGTCCCTGCCGACAAAGCAGGTAACAACATTGTCTTCGTTTGTAAGGCTCATTATATAAATTATATTTTAGAAGAACTTGGATTTAATTCTACTAGCGGTAATCCTACTTATACTCATATACTTCCCTTTCTAAGGAAGAAATTCTTCAAAATCAAATGTCAGTTTTGAATATTTTTAATATTCCACAGATCCAAAATTAATTTGAACTACCCTATATGTATATTGGATTCCGAAACTTCATAAAAATCCTTACAAACAAAGATACATTGCGGGTTCCAGTAAATGTTCAACCACGCCTCTTTCGTTACTGTTCACTAAGATATTAACAGTAGTGAAGGAAACACTTCAAGAGTACTGTGCAACAATATATTCAAGAAGTGGTGTGAATCAGATGTGGATACTCATAAATAAACTTTTGGACAATTTGAAATCACAAGATTTTTCCAGAATCAACTTAAAAGCTTACGATTTTTCAACTTTATACACAACCATTCCCCATGATAAATTAAAGTCCAGGCTTTTTGATATCATTTACAACTGCTTTTTCAATAAAAAGGAACTCGTAAATTTGCTTACCCGATCGTTGGTCATTTGCAAAATTAATTTGTTAAAACAAATTCTGATTGCACACACAAGTACTCTGAAGTTGATACAAAAAAGATGCTTGAGTTTCTGATTGACAATATCTATGTGGTTTTTGAAGACCAGGTCTTCCAACAATCTATTGGAATTCCCATGGGTACCAATTGCGCTCCGTTATTGGCAGACCTATCTTCGTATTCATATGAAGCAGAATTTGTGCAAAATCTTATCCGTGAAAAGAAGAAAACACTCGCTTTTGCCTTCAACTCGACATTTATATATATCGACGATGTTTTGTCAATTAAAAATGGTAATTTCCATTCCTACGTCGATACGATATATCCTGGAGAGCTTGAGATAAAAGATACCACAGAGTCTGACACATCTGTTTCATACTTGGATATTTTACTTGAAAGGGACGTTAATGGTAATCTAACAACCAAGCTATATGATAAACGTGATGACTTTAACTTTTCTATCGTCAACGTCCATTACTTATGCAGCAATATACCTTCATCACCTGCATATGGAGTTTATATATCTCAGTTGTTTCGATACGCAAGAGCATAATCTACGTATGAACAATTTCTAAAATGAGGTAGATTATTGACAAGCAAGTTGATGAGACAAGAATATCAGCAGTCTCGTTTAAAGTCATCTTTTCATAAGTTCTATGGTCGATACAACGACCTTGTCAGCAAATACAATTTATCATTAAGTCATATGCTGACCGACATTTTTCATACTAATTGTTAGTCCATTATTTATACATTGAATTGACGACGGATTATTTCCGTTATTTCCCGACCATGACAAGGAGCACACGGCGAGTGTGACCGGACAGCAGAGGATGCTCACTCCTCCATGGCACCTGATCCCACCTCTGATGTTTCGGAGGTCCGCGTTTGCTCTGCTCCTATTTCGTATTGTTTTATTGACTTTGATATTAAATACTGTTCGTTATCTCCATATATATCAAACATCATAAATAGGGCCCAGACAACAGCATTTCTTGATCCTTGGATCAAGGTGAAGACACTTATAAGTAAAAAAAAAAAGAACTTCTTCTGTAATTTTATTTTCGATATTTGATTCGGATGAGTTTGAATGCAAGCATTAGAATCAATAGTGTCTCTCAAATCACAAAAGACTTTTGCGTAGAAAGGCGTGTGCTTTTCTTTCTTTTCGAATACTTCTTTCATGCAATCACGCACCCATTGCAGCATTTTAACACCTTTAAGTTTTGCCTTAGAGTTACATGTATAATGTTCCTATAAAATTTAAGCATCAAAAACAGAGTTTCTTTTGCCTAACCAGCTATCTTTATCGCTTATTCTGTCCTCTTTCTTCACTGTTTGGAATTCAATTGTTTTAAATGTAAGAAATGCGTAAACAACTGCGCACGTTTCCGTTAGTACAAAGAAAGGTAGGAGAAGAACGGGTGAGAGGCATACAGCCATGAACTTTATAAGACCAATTCTCTGATAGTTGAATGATTTCAGGGCACCAATGATAAACAGAAACATCATCACTCCCCCCATAAACCCAAACAGAAAGCTAATCACTCGCGGCATTGGGAGGGGGTACAGAGGCACCAGCACGGTGTTTGGGACGGTCAAGGGCATCGTTATCCATCCGAGTATTATAAAGAGAATTCCACCCTTCTGTCTTAGCGGGATATTCTTACTTATAAAGGTCATTGTTATGCCTTGTATCCATCGTTTTCTTTGCTTTATGTAATCTGTCAGAGAAAAGGGACTTTTCTCCCACATTTCACCTTCGATAAAGTCAAATGAATAGCCCAGTTTCCAAGCTGTCAATCCAAAGAAACAATCTTCCGCAATACTTCCTTCTATACCGAAGTCATAAGAAACCTTTCTCTCTGCTCCAGCACTGGAAACAACGTAGCTCCCTTTCCAGCTGAAGACGGGTTTTTTTAAGTACTTCAGACAAAATCGCAGAATACCATAGTCAGTCCCGACTCTAGCGAGATCGAAGATTGTGGTGATCCAACAAAATATCTTCTCGTTAGCATACGATATGATACCCTGCCCAAAACTGGCTGTACCTTTTGCTATAAAGTTAAGAATTCCAATCACTGACGCCCTGGTCAAAACAGTTTCCTCGTCAAGGTGAACGATCCAATCCTCATCTTTTAGCACATTTACACAATCCTCCAAGCAATACTGAAGTGCTCGTGCTTTGTAAAGGGTCCTTTTGGATGTTCGATAATTGAATGGAACCACGATTTCTCTTACATACAGATGCTTTGGAATATTAATTGCATTATCCGTCACGACTTCAAAAATGAAGTTGCTCAAGCCGAGACCACTGCATGTGTTAATGTTTCTCTCCACGTTATTCTTTACCAGGTTTGGACACGTTCCCTTTGTGACAACCCTGAAGCAGACCAATGGGCCATGTAGAAGTGTGCCAGTCATTTCTGGGGGCTTCGGGTATGTGTTGTACAAAACAAATCCAAGAAAATTGAACACTGATAACGGCAGACTTAAGAAAGTCAGAAGTCGAATAAAATACAAGATGATAGTCACCCATTTTCCATATTTGGTAAAAGGATCATCAGTAATAGAACTGTTATCTCTAAAAGCGCCTGCTGCTTCACTAAAAATCAGAACAAGTAAAACAAGCAGAGCGACTGTGAAGATGTGGTAAATCAACCCACGAAGTTCTCTCTTCACCCGACTTAAAACCATTCCAGGTATCACAAGAAAACGAAGCAAATTACCAAATATACAAGATTCACAAAGAAAGCACCAGTTCTTGTTAAGACAGTCCTTAAAAAGATTATCTGTGTGAAACACTGTGAAATGAAAAACAAAATTTGTTTTTCCTATCCACCCAAAGACACGTGCAGAGGATATTGTTCGTGTTTAAGAAATTAAAATCAAAATTCCGGATATCGTTGCGAAAGGGGAAAAGAATCAACTTTTATATTAAAGCATCGTCCTGTATTGCTTGAAAATTGTAACTCACAATTCTAAATGAAACCAAATACTACACAACATAGCTCTCAGACCTGGCCATAGATTTAGATACGTACAAGTATTTATCGCATTTGACAACATTTAGTGCCAAGCTTATGGGTACCGCAATTTTCACCCAATAGAATTTCTGGCAAATTGTAGCCAATTAGAATGCACTTATCTGCTACCCTTTTAATAAACGATTTTTTTCCAGTCACAGTGTTTTTACTGACACATTCAGTAGGTTCTATATTTCTCTTCACGTGAAATAAAATTAGTGAAGCCTTTACTAAAGGGAAAAAATCGACTCTATCAAAAACTCTTTTTTAAATAAATACTAAATCTATTGAGTTAAAATTTAGTTCCTTACCAACTTTCCGGGGATTTAACTCTTCAAATATAAATGTGGTGAAGAAAGATTCTTCAATAAACAAGGGCACTGCAAAGTATAGCGAGCATATGCAATAATCAAGGGAACATCGACTCGATGATAATTACATCACTTCCATTTCGCACAGCACTAACTTGTTCACCCACAAACACGAATTGCGGTACTATATCCCCTCAAACTTTTCATGGACTTATGTGTTCACCCACAAACACGAATTGCGGTACTATATGCCCTCAAACTTTTCATGGACTTACGTGTTCACCCACAAACACGAATTGTGGTACTATATGCGCTCAAACTTTTCATGGACTTACGTGTTCACCCACAAACACGAATTGTGGTACTGTATCCCCTCAAACTTTTCATGGACTAACTTGTTCACCCACAAACACGAATTGCGGTCCTGTATCCCCTCAAACTTTTCATGGACTAACTTGTTCACCCACAAACACGAATTGCGATACTATATCCCCTTAAACTTTTAATGGACTAACTTGTTCACCCACAAACACGAATTGCGGTACTACTGTAAACGTATTACATTTCGCGGTGTATTCTATTTAGCGATTTTGGCGGAAAGCGGAGTCCGCTAATTCAAGTGCATCGCTAAATGTCTTGTATATTAACTTTTATAACTGCACAAGCATACTAGTATTCAAACAGCGCAAAATCAAATCTATACTAACTTGCTGAAAATTAAATTTCCGCCAAATATCGTACACGCCAAATGTAATACATTTACAGTATATCCCCTCAAACTTTTCATGGACTTACGTGTTCACCCACAAACACGAATTGTTCACCCACAAACACGAATTGCGGTACTATATCCCCTCAAACTTTTCATGGACTTACGTGTTCACCCACAAACACGAATGCTGTACTGTATCCCTTCAAACTTTTCATGGACTAACTTGTTCACCCACAAACACGAATTGCGGTACTATATCCCCTCAAACTTTTCATGGACTAACTTGTTCACCCACAAACACGAATTGTGTACTTTATCCCCTCAAACTTTTCATGTACTAACTTGTTCACCCACAAACACGAATTGTGTACTTTATCCCCCCAAACTTTTCATGGACTTACGTGTTCACCCACAACATGGACTTACGTGTTCACCCACAAACACGAATGCTGTACTGTATCCCCTCAAACTTCTGATGGACTAACTTGTTCACCCACAAACACGAATCGTGGTACTGCATCCCCTCAAACTTTTTATGGACTAACTTGTTCACCCACAAACACGAACTGCGGCACTATATCCCCTCAAACTTTTTATGGACTAACTTGTACACTCACAAACACAAATTGCAGTACTATGCAAGTATCCCCTCAAACTTTTTATGGACTTACTTTTTCACCCACAAACACGAATTGTGATACTATATCCCCTCAAACTTTTCATGGACTAACTTGTTCACCCACAACCACGAATTGTGGTACTATATCCCCTCAAACTTTTCATGGACTTACTTGTTCACCCACAAACACGAATTGCTGTACTGTATCCTCTTAAACTTTTCATGGACTAACTTGTTCACCCACAAGCACGAGTTGCGGTACCATATCCCCTTAAACTTTTTATGGACTAACTTGTTCACCCACAAACACGAATTGTGGTACTATATCCCCTCAAACTTTTCATAGACTAACTTGTTCACCCACAAACACGAATGCTGTATTGTATCCCTTCAAACTTATCATGGACTAACTTGTCACCCACAAACACGAATTGCGGTCCTGTATCCCCTCAAACTTTTCATGGACTAACTTGTTCACCCACAAACACGAACTGCAAAACTATATCCCCTCAAACTTTTCATGGACTAACTTGTTCACCCACAAACACGAATTGTGATACTATATCCCCTCAAACTTTTCATGGACTTCCTTGTTCACCCACAAACACGAATTGCAAAACTATATCCCCTCAAACTTTTCATGGACTAACTTGTTCACCCACAAACATGAACTGCGATACTTTATCCCCTCAAACTTTTCATGTACTAACTTGTTCACCCACAAACACGAATTGCAATACTATATCCCCTCAAAGTTTCATGGACTCTTAATTGGGGACTTGTCACCATGGCGCCTTAATTTTTGACTGACTCCTTCAATTTCTATTCAAGTCGCCAAATTGTCTCATCTTTACATTGTAAGGTCATAATTGTATGAAAAGCACAAAAAGGTAAATTGTCAAAACAATCGTTTTTTCAAAAGAATAGGTTTGTCACTTCAAATTTTTTCACCAACTTAATAATTTTTGCATGGTATTTGAAAGGATATTTTGACCTGTGTGCTTAATATATGTCATAAATATGCATCATCTCCAATTTTTCTGCACAGACATCATCTGTTTTAATACCTGCCCTCCCCTTATTGATTCAATAAAAGACAGTTAAAACCTAGTCAGTAGCACGAATGGACTCTAAAACATGAAATATCACATATTGTAAATATCTTCTCATCCTATTTCTTTTCTAAAATAAAGGAAAAATTTGGAATGAACTTTCTTAACACCCTTTTATACGTAAGAGATATATTTGACTCTGGATAGTGGCTTGAGAAGATGGTGTCAGTTTCACAAGCATGCTCATGTTGAAACCTTTTTGGCATTTAGTTGGCTTATATTTCTGATTGATTTTTCCCCCTCTTCCTGTGACTAACTCAATGGGTTCATTTACTTATTAAGTAATATTAGCATTTAAAGGTAGCACCTTAAAAATTTGCCTGGGGACTAAAAATTTGTATTGATGAATATTTTTTATAAGGAGCCAGCTAGAGGTCATGTACAGATTTGGGGTTTTGAGGGGCATTGTATTGACCTTTATACCACATACCTACATTATATATGGGTGCTTTTCTTTTGTGCATCATTTTGTTACCAAGGTATACTCATGGGAAACAAGAGAACCATGGGCCACATCAATCACCTGAGCACTGTGGCTAGGAAAAAGCAAAAATCAATCCAGTATTGAAAAGCTTAAGATGCTTACATGTTTCTTTGACTTACTTTGGTTTTTTTCCATATGAGTTTGAACTTTCATTTTGGTCCCACTCTACTCCCATGGGTCATGATTTGCATAAATTTGAATCTACACTACCTGAGGATGCTTCCACATCAATATGACCAACCATGGCTTTGATGTTGTTGAGAAGAAGATTTTAAAAGTTTTTTCCTACATACTCCTTTGTAAAACTTTGAACGTCCATTGAGGCCCCATCCTACCCCTTAGGGTCATGATTTGAACAAATCTGAATTTACTCTATCCGAGAATGCTTCCATATAAGTTTAATTTTTCCTTGCCCAATTCTTTTTGGGAAGAAGATTAATTTTTAAAACATGCCACCAAATTTTCAATATTTCTTCATTATCCCCTTGAAAGAGGATGTGGCCCTTCATTTGAAAAAACTTGAACACTCTTCACTGAAGGATGCTTTATGGCAAGTTTGGATGAAATTTGCCCAGTGGTTCTGGAGAAGAAGTCGAAAATGTGAAAAGTTTACAGATGGATTGCCCAATTCTTCTTGAGAAGAAGATTAATTTTTAAAACATGCCACCAAATTTTCAATATTTCTTCATTATCTCCCCTTGAAAGAGGGTGTGGCCCTTCATTTGAACAAACTTGAACACCCTTCACTGAAGGATGCTTTATGGCAAGTTTGGATGAAATTTGCCCAGTGGTTCTGGAGAAGAAGTCGAAAATGTGAAAAAGTTTACAGACGGACAGACAGCTAGACAGCTAGATGGACAAATTGTGATCAGAAAAGCTCAGGCGAGCTAAAAAAAACTTTCCCTGAAGCACAGACACTTAAATAATGTCTTCAACCTTTCTTTTCATAAATAAAAAATTCTCAATACCATAAAACTGGAGAAGGATTTGTATATGAAAAGGTTGAAAATGTCAACTCCTGTGCACTGAAGCTGGAGTAACAAAATCAAATGACTGTACTTTCTGTTTTAAACATTATAAGAAACAAAGGTCTGGACATAAATAAAATCATAATTACATTGAATCTTCAATTCATGATTCAGCCATGTGACCTATTTTCTTAAGAATGTCTCTATACACATTGAAATGGGAGGATTCTTTCTGAGTCTGTAGTGTTTTCTTCACCAGTAGCTGACACTGTTTGTTAACATGAATCAAGTTATCTATGTGTTCACAAAGACTGTCCAGTGCTCTACTCCTGTCACCATCTCTCCTATGGGGATCATTGCCTCTGAATCTAAAATTATAAAGAAACCATAATTCATTATGCTCTTTCATTGCTCATTTATGCACAAATACATAGACTTTACTGTCACAGTCACTTATAAATTATAATCAATTTGATAAACATTAAAACTATTGACATTTCTGTCATTACAACAAACTAGAGGTACTGTGAGCACTGAGCTCACAAAATGATACCCCCGCCTCCCATATGATTACAATGGTAAAGTACATATTTTACTCTGGGAGACCTGTAATAAGTGTCAGGTCAAAAAGTAAAATAGGAGGTACATAGTGGAATTATGTAATAAAGAATGTGAATCATTAAATTTTATTCATTGGTATAGGAGGAGTCGCGTATAAGAGATGGGTACCCTTCAATATTAGAGAAAAAATAGCAGTGTCAATGTTTTGCTATGGGAAACCTAAAATATCTTTTCGATCAAAAGTAATATAGGAGGTCGCAGTGACACTATGTAACAAAGAATCTGTGAAAGCTCATTATTAAATTTCATTAGTGGTACCGGTATTAAAGGGCTTAAGATAGAGATGGGTACCCCAGAGCGTAAGACGTACAGCTAGACGGACTGATGAACATCCCGATCACTATATACCAGTACCCACCCACCCCCTCCCCCAATTTTCAAGCGGGGGGGTATAATAACATGAAATATGCTTGGAAATTTTAGTCAATTATTTTTTTCCACTATGAAGTTTCAAACTAAAATTGTTTATATCCAAGTATTAAATGAAAGCACATCTTTACCTCCATGAATAAGGATTAGAATCTCCCTCATCATAACTTGGTTCCATGTTTTTGGCCCACTGTAGAATGTGCTTCAGATAGGTATGGCAGAAGTCTGTGTGGTACTTGCATGCCTCTTGGATGACTTCTTTACAAGAATCTAGACATGTGCTGTATACAAAGTAAGTGAAATTATAAATGTACAATTAAAAGAGCACGGAGAAAGTTGAAAAATCCTCCACGACTTAAAATACCGGTACACAGTGAGAAATGGAAAGTTGACAACCTCCTAAACTAAGGCTAAATGAATTAAATACATACAGTGTATGTATGATAATTAAGTACTTACTCATTGCTTGGTTGTGAGAGCCATCTGATGATAATACTGTGAAGGAACTGAAGTTGACTGTCTGTATAGGCTGTGTCACATGGTGATACGGTTAACATCTTCAAAATTAAATCCTACAACAGTCAATCCATCACTGTATAAAGAGTGTGAAGGGACAATTCACAATGCTAGTATGATACTGGTAAAATTAAAATAATTCTACTCTGCAGTCTGCAAATATGTCACCCTTCCATGAAAAAAAATGTCACATATCTTTTCAAAATATTTCTATATGTATTTTAGAAAGGAATTTTCAAGAACATAGATCTGTCACAGGTATGGTCTTTATCAAAAAATCGTGTTAAGGCCATGAAACAATACAACACTTAATTAATCCATTCTGGGATTTCCTAAATTTAAAATTCAAAAGGGGGATAACTTCTTTTCTGGTAAAGTAAATAAAAAAACCTTGGCAATTTTAAATAACTTACAAAATCGCCTGTTTTCTTTGCTATTCTTGTCATCAAGTTACATACATAAGTTTCAAATCTGTAAAATAAAACATTTTTTTTAAAAGTAAAAATATCAGTTATAATCTTTTTTCTGACTACAAAAACTTTACATTCTGAGGAAACAATTGCTTTACCTTTGTTGTTTAGATGAACATTTTATAAGACTTATCAGTGTTGAGAGCAGTGCTGTAGCTTCAGATGTTAACTTTATTTGTCCTACTGATTCTCCATTTGTGTGTAAGGCCTGCATAAGCTTAGTCACAGTATTCACTTCCCTTGTTAATTCCCCATTTCCCTGTTGAATCAAGTTGTCTGCATTTGACTTATCCTGTTGCTCTAGGATCATGGTAAGTAGCTTCTCTGGTAGATGTTTATTTTGCAACAAGGTCTACAAAATCAGCAAATGTGTATGAGAATATGACAAAGGACTTTGAGTACCAATACCAATATTAACTCTCCATATGAATTAGAACTAAAACCCACAGCCTACCATGTTCTCTAAATCAAGATTTATCCCCCACCTCCTCCCCACCTCACCCTCTATGACAAATAAGAGATAGTAATAGAATTGTTTCTAAAACTGTTCCTAAGCCCAAGGCCCAAAATGTTCAATATATCTGGGTGGTGGTGAGGATGCATTCTGGAGGTTTGGATGCAGGTAGTGTTTTCAAATCGGTTGAAAATCAGAATCGATTAATCGGTAACATCGGTTGACCCTAACCGACTGATCATCGGCCAATAATCGAATTGGTAACCCTTTGCATAAAATAGGCATTAGATTTTATAAAAATTAGAATTTTATTGTTAAATAATGTAAGTAAAGGTGCATTGTACAGATCGAAATTCTAAAAACAGTATATATGCAGTTTGATTAACGATTTCAGTAATACAGATTTTTGCATGATTAGGAATTACTTGGCCTGGGAAAAGTAAGCATTGACAGATCAAGTTTTAATTTACATGATCATCTAAAATGTATATGGAATTAATTTTTTAAACTGTTATAAGATATAAATATTGTAAATTCCTTGTGATTCCGTATAAAGTGACAGGTGAATTCCCCCAAATACTAGTACTGAAAATTAATATATTTTATTTAAACAAGCAGTTTAGTTTCTTCAGTTTAGAAATACAAATATCATTATCTTTTGATTTATTTTAAACAGATTTTAAGTACAAGTATTTTAAAATAGTAAAGGACAACTCTTGAAAGATATATATTTTGATAACAAGAGCCTGTTCTTGAAATAAAAGTGAGAAAACTGTAAAAAAGATATGTGCTGAAATATATCGATTAATCGATTTTTAAAATCTCCAATCGATTGTCTAAAATCGACAGCTTTCCGACGGATCATCGATTATAAATTGATCATAGTGACAACACTAGATGCAGGTGGATCTGAAGGCAATATCCATCCCTCTCCCCACCAAAAGAAACCATCTAAATGTACAACATTTTGCATTGTACTTAAAGTGCAACCAAGACTTAAAAGTCATTCCAAGCAATCAAACATTGAATAGAAATTGTGACTGACTGTGCAGAATTAGGACCCATGGAAAAAGGTTTATTTACAGTTTATGTAACTTTTGACATGCAGTACCTTTTCCATTATTAGCCTGGCCTGTCCTAGATCTTCCACACAGAGCTGTAGACAGGAAGGTGGATGAAGATGCAGGGTCATGGCAGCCATGTGTTTCTCTATTTGACTCCTGTATGGTTTATCAGCTACCTGATGGTACACCTGTGAATAAGGATTGAAATAAAGTTACTTCTTCAAAACAGGATTGGCCTCATTTGTTCAGTTTTGGATAACTTAGATACAAATGAAATATTTTTTATTGTATTTCAATATATTTTTGTCAATGAGTCAAATTACATGTATTATAATCCTACATTTCTGACTGTGAGTAAACCACAGGCCTCTGAATTTCTATCAATGAGCATAGGCACTCCCCATCTTATTTGTTAAAAAAAAATATATCTACTATACTAGTTTATAGTATAATATTTTTTTTTTAACAATTTTAAAAGATGGGGAGTGCCTATGTCAATGAGCAATGAATTACGATTTATCAGAGTGATATATATATACCCCCTCTATATATAAATACACACATAGAGAGTGGGTATATATCATGATATATATCACTCTGCTCAATCATATAACGGCTTATTGATAGAAATTCAGAGGCCTTTTGAGTAAATAATGGCAGCTATAGGGTTTACATGTCTCTGATATTAGATAGCTTTATACCTTAACACAGTAATCAGCCCAGTTCAGAGCGTTCTGTAA